ATTATGTTGAGTCTTCTAATTCCTGAGCACCCTATGTCTCTCCACTTCTTTAGGCTGTCTTTAATTTGTTCCTTAACATTTGTATTTGTTAGGATACAGATACTGTACATATTTTGCTAGATCTTTACCTAAGATTTCATCCCTTTAAAATAATTGAAAATGTTAGCTCCTTTTTTGGTATTGTCTCACAGTTCCCTGAGATTGTTCATATTTTTATGTGACTGTATTTTTTTTCTATTTCACAAAGAGTAAATCTAATATTTTGCCCTCATGTTTACTGATTCTATCTTTTGGTATGTCTAGTATAAAACTAGAAATATAAAATTGATTTCACTTCTAAAGTGAATGACTAAATAGTTGACTAACCTTGTTCCCTACCAGAAACAAAATTTCACTTTGTTTTCATTATTTCATGTTTCACTTGTAAAGTTTCCACTTGGTTCTTTCTTTTATTTCTTTACTGAGATTTTTAATTTCTTCATTATTCTAAGATAATCAAAAATAGCATGTAGGAGTACTTTTTTTAATGATGACTTCTTTAGTTTCCATTAACAAAAAATTCCAACATATATCCCAGGGGCTCATGAGGATGAGAAAGGAGGATGGTGAGCTCAAAGCCAGCCTCAGCAAATCAGTGAGACCCTAAGCAATTAAGAGAACTTGTCTCTATGTAAAATATTAAAAAAGGGGGTCCGTATGTGACCTAATGGTTAAGTGATCCTGGGTTCCATCCCTGGTACAAAAAAGATTCCAACATATGATTTATTTCACTTATGGCATCTATTGATCATATTGTCTCATTTGTGATTTTCCTTATTATTTGAATGATGATGCAATTTTTCATTGCATCATGGTCATATTTATATTATATTATGAGACTCTGTATTCTATTTCAGCTCCTTATTTTATCATCAGAGACACTCCCTTCATTATTGTAACTAGAAATATATATGTGTATATATGTTTGGCTTATTATGGGTACCTCTGATATCAACTTTGCAAAAATGGAGTGGTGACTCACATTTCTTCATGGCACATGGGTAGAATGAAAGTTTAGCTTCCTTTGAAGAATTCCTCACACCTTCATGGTGAAAGTATAATACTGACTTATACCACATTGTTAGATCGAAGTGGGAATGGAGGTGTATCTAAACAGTTGACCACACTGAGACCAATGATGAATATCATGAGTCCCACTGTTCTCTGTCTTTCAGATTCATTGACGGTGGATGGTGACAAAAACTCAGCTTCTCTTTGTGTTTCACTGATACTAGAGGTAGAAGGAACCAGAGTGTAAGTCAACTAGCCCTTTTTTTGCTATCAGGTTGGTATAGTGGGGAGGTGCTATAGCATAATAGTCAGTAACAATATTTCACACCACCAGATGAATGTGAAGGAATAATTCACCATTAGACCTTACTAACATCACCTGGGCAGAATAATCAGGGCACCAGTTGCTTCTGCCTGGTGGAAGATACAAGATCAGCTCTCTGTTCGGCATCACTGGTATCAAGCTGCCAGGAGAATGAAAACAGTGCCTGCTTCTGTCACATGGGGAATATAAGCTCACCTCTTTACTTGATCTTGACTAAGTTACACTGTTAGAGGAATTGGAATATCATATGCTTACACTAACAGTACATTAGATATCAATTCCTCTAATTTGAGACTGTTGACTAACTTTGTTAACCACCAGAAAACACTCCTGATTCCTTAGCATGACAGATTCTCTGCTCCAGATACAAGTTCCTGACCAATTGTCATATATCCCATGTCTATGCCTATGCACCTTTCCTCTAGCTGATTTCTGCTTAGGCTAAAAAGACTTCATTACTCTACAACTCTCTAAATATCTTCCTTTTGTTGTTTTACCTTTTCAAATTGTCTCTGCTGATTTTGCAGACATTACAAATCATGGGGCTGGGGTTGTGGCTCAGTGGTAGAGCACTTGCCTTGCATGTGTGAGGCACTGGGTTCAATTCTCAGCACCGCATATGAATATGAATAAAATGAAGGTTAGTCAACAACTATTTTTTTTTAAATCATGAACTCATTTGTGTCCTCAGTGATGTGTTTGTACCTGTTTTACAGCATGTATTGAAATCTGGTTTGTACATTGGAATTAAAAGCATTTATATCTATTTTCACCACCCTCTAGTACAAATTATCAATGTATCTCCAAGGTATATTTTCAATAATGCTTTATTTATCTAGAAGTCACACTTTTGGAATATTCCAGCAATTCAAAGACTGGTTTGATATTGGCTATAAGGTACAAAATCCTGCCTTGGTTTTGATTTACACTCAAGCCTTGAATATGATGACTTGAATATAAAATAGAGCAAAGGCATGAGCCTGGTTGCTTCTTGAGAGAGCTGGTAAGAAAAAAGGGCTTGTTTCAGGGAATGACTAGTTAGGGCACTGTTGAGTCCTTATTATTACTAGTTCATATTCTTAGAGATTTATTTGTATTTATCTAATTTAATTATCTCACCTACTTGTTGATGTGGATTGTATTACTATATACATATTGCAGGTTGGTCAGGACCCATTTCTCATATACCCTTTGTTTTAATATGTTCTCCTAAACAATTTAGACCTGTAGTCTAATGTATCCATAAAATAAGTAATCTAGGTGTTTTAAGGGGATAAAGCTACTGGGTGGGGGGTTCTGAGATGCCAGGATCAGTCTTCAGAGGCTTTTGTAAGACTACTTGTTTCATTGAGGATGGTTTCTTTAGATTGGTGCAGGGCACCTAAAAGCACTTTTTATGTTCATGTAACATACATTTATTGAGTGTCAAGTCTGTGTAAAAGGTACTGGGATATATAGTAAAAACACCTTTGTTAATGTCATTGTCTAGTGGGAGACATAGAAGGTAAACATTTATATCAGAGTGATAAGGTCTTTTAATCCACAATGTTAGTCAATGATCTAAATATCAGAGTCATAATTTTAAAAAGGGTATTGGACATTCTTTTGTCTCCTTAGGCTGTGGGGCTGTTAGCAAGAATTCCTTTGAAGGATGTAACCAAGAGGACTGAGGGAATTGTTTGCCTTGCATTTGTGTGCCCTGTGGGTGGTCTTCTTCTTTCACCTGTCAACTGTTCTTCTAAGCAAAAAGAGCTTGGTGTATCTTGCTCTAGGGAATTTGAGGGATTTGGCTTTTTGTAGAACATAATGACATATTTACACATACTTGCCTTTTGACTTTGAGTGTGCACATGTAGGTTGTATACATGTGTGAATATATCACTGTCATTCTAAAGAGTTTAGAAATAATTTTTCATGCATGTAGTTTTATTGGTTTCTTAGCACTATTTTTTTGTAATATAGTATTGAAAAAAAAATCTCACATCCAAAGTCCTTGTCCTTGGAAGCACAAAAGGAGAATGCTCACAAATTCTTAAAAAGTATGAGATCTAAGATTTTTGCCACTCACTTGGACAGTAATGTAATGTGGAGGCAGCCAATAATGCCACCTCACAGCTCTCTCTCAACTGATTTCCTTCATTCCAGGTGAATTATTATTATTTTTTTTCCAGATAAAGATATGAGGCCTTTTCTTCTCACAAGGGATGAGTGGAAGAATGAGAATGACAGTCTAGACACTCCAGGTTTTATTGTCTTTTTGTAAGTGGAATGTAATGGTTAAATGTAATGGTTAAAGTTCTACAGATATTCAAATTTAAACTTCTTAGCAGTCCTGTGACTTGAGGCAAGTGAGATTATGGATATTTTGTTTTCTCTTAGATTTTCCATATAACTATGCAGTGCTTTCAAAATTACAATACTAGTAAATGTAAACACACACACACCATCTTCTCTTTTTACTAAATTGAGGCCACAATTTAGTTTTAATATTTTGTTTTTCCAAATATTGATCTTATTTCATATATAGAAACCATGTCTTTAAAATATTCCCTAAAGACATGATTTAGATAAGCTAAATAAACCCCATATATGAAGATAAATAGTTTTATTACTTATTCTTGTATCATAGGGCATTTTGAATTAATAATGGGCCATTAAATGAATATTAAAATAAATAGTCTGGATCAAAATCATGTTTTCATAACTATAGAAAATAACCAGAAAATTTTAATGATATAAATGACAAAAGTAAGATATAAAAGTATGACATATGCTCCCCACATGTTTATTACCAAGAGATAAATCAACGTGGTTAATATTTTACTGTTTAGATACCAAGGTTAAGGTTAGTTTCATATTTTATTTCACTATATTTTTAAAAATCTTCCACAACGTCGGTGTACCTCCTTACACTCGGAAAATAAAATAATTATTAAATAATCATTACCAGGAATATTCAGGTACAAAATATAAAGGAGAGTTTGAATCAAGATGGAGGACCGTTCACAGGCTTTATTTTCTCTGATCTGTAATTCTTCAAACTGAAAGAAAACTAGCTTGTATGTACATTTGTGCAAACTCTCTCTCTCTCTCTCTCTCTCTCTCTCTCTCTCTCTCTCTCTCTCTCTCTCTGTGTGTGTGTGTGTGTGTGTGTGTGTGTGTTTTGAATATATGTATATATTTCGAAATGTTTGTGAGAAATTCCTGTAAGACAGGAGCAGATGAAGCCGCTGTGGAGAAAGCTGTTGGGCAGCAGGCAGCTCAAATGGGGGAGGGGAGCCTGCCTGTCTGGCTGGGGTTTGAAGTAAACAGTCGGGGGGCGCGAGAGGAAATAAAGGAGAAAGCCTGTGTCAGTGTAGACTGAACGCGGGCGCGCGCGCTGACCCGCCCCACTGCTGCCCGCGAAGCGGAAGGCGAGAAGGCAGAGGGCGGGACCGAGGTACAGGCGGGCTCAGAGGGGGCGGGCTCTTGAAGCTGCAAAAACCGCGGTTCCACGGCTGGGCCAAGCCAACTAGGACTGTGAAGGCCAGGCCGCGCGGACTCCTCAGAGACGTGCCGCCGCCTGCACTTTTACTGCTGCAGCCATCCCTTTATCTTTTGCCTTCCTTTCCCGCGGTCTCCTTCGGTGTCGCGGTACTGCAACCTCAGCTTCAACTACAACAACAGCTAAGTGGCCGATTCCGGGACCTGGGGGTGGAGGTTGGGGCGGGCGCCAGGCGCGGACAGCACAGTCGTACCCGCCATCTCTTTCCAGCCACCGCTGCTGCAGTCACCCCTCCCGGACGGCAGAAGAAAGCACTGTCGAGAGGCACACACTGTCCTTGTGCCCACAGTGAAGAGTTAGAGCGTTTCTGCCAAGCTCTGGTGAGATCTTTGATCTAGGAGAAGGGAGGACCCCTTTCTGAGATCGCAGAAAAAAAAAATTCTTATTGGATAGTATTAACTTTTTGTCCGCTTAATCAAGCAAGGGGCAATTCTGTCTAAGTCCTCCTAAGCCCTGAACCATGTCTCCTCCGACCATGCCTCCCACGGGAGTAGATGGCGTGTCCGCATACCTGATGAAGAAAAGGCACACCCACAGGAAGCAGCGGCGCAAGCCCACTTTCCTCACTCGTAGGAACATCGTGGGCTGCCGCATTCAACACGGCTGGAAAGAAGGCAATGAGCCAGTGGAGCAGTGGAAAGGCACTGTGCTCGAGCAGGTTTCTGTGAAGCCCACACTTTACATCATTAAATATGATGGCAAAGATAGTGTGTATGGACTAGAACTGCACCGAGATAAAAGAGTTCTAGCGCTAGAGATTCTTCCTGAGAGAGTACCAACTCCTCGAATTGATTCTCGCCTGGCAGATTCCTTGATTGGGAAGGCAGTGGGGCATGTGTTTGAAGGCGAGCACGGTAGGAAAGATGAATGGAAGGGTATGGTGCTGGCACGAGCCCCAGTGATGGATACTTGGTTTTATATAACGTATGAGAAAGATCCAGTCCTCTATATGTACACCCTGCTGGATGACTACAGAGATGGTGACCTGCGCATCATTCCAGATTCCAACTACTATTTCCCTATGGCAGAACGGGAGCCTGGAGAGGTGGTCGACAGCCTGGTGGGCAAGCAGGTGGAGCATGCCAAAGATGACGGGTCCAAGAGAACTGGCATTTTCATCCATCAAGTGGTGGCCAAGCCCTCTGTCTACTTCATTAAGTTTGATGATGATATTCACATTTATGTCTATGGTTTGGTGAAAACCCCGTAAGTTCATTGTGCTCTTTGTAATAGTTGGGGAACTATTACTTAAAATATTTTGTATTTTCATAATTGTGAACTTTGAGAACAGTTTTGGCATCAGAAATTCAGGAAAGTAAGTAAATCTTATTGTGCCTCCAACTCTTACATTGACTAATTCCACAGTTTTGCCCCAAGTATACTGTGGTAATTTTGATATTGCTTTGTTCTTTAATGGAACTTATAAATTGGGTGCTAGTAGAATATTAAAGTGTCTGTATTTTTAATGTAAAAGTAGATTAACCCTACCCCATATCCTTCTCCCTCATTATTTTTAACCTTTCTACTTTCTTCCCACAGGTTGAGAGTCTGTCCTACATCCTTCCATATTTTCTTCTTCTTCATGAAGTTTTTCATAGTATTTTCTGTTAAAATGGGAAGCCATATTATTTTCTCTAATTGCTTTTCTCACTTGACATAGATGACATCCTGGCTGACCAGTAGCTACAGTCAATCTCTCTCTCTCTCTCTCTCTCTCTCTCTCTCTCTCCCTCTCCCTCCCTCCCTTCCTCCCTCCCTCCCTCATGCTCTCACCCTCACTCTAATAGTTGCATATTCAATACATGTAGATGTACCAAAAAGTATTCAACCTTTTTGTTACTGATATTCAGTTATTTCCTTTTTCACCAACATAACACTACCAAAACACAAAGTGTTTTATTTCTATAGGTTGGATTCTCAGAAATGCTAACAAGTCATATGTTTTATTTTAAGAAATTAGGATTATCATTCAAAATGAAAGTGCCTATTTTCAGCATCCTCTGCAGCATCACTTTTTAAGATTTAAAAATCTGAAAGGTGAAAAATTATATGATATTGCTTTTCACTGTGACTGCCTTTTACCTGACTTCAAAGAGGATTTCTCTTTCTATTTGAGTGTTTTTCTTTTGTGATTTGACAGTTATTATCCTTTCTTCATTTATCTATTGAATTGTTGATCTTTTCCTTAAAAATTTGTTAAGTGCATTTAATAATTTGTAGCTTATGTGTTATGATTTTTCTATTATATAATCTTGATTTTATTGGTTATGTCTTTTATTTTATAATTGTAAAAAATTAGGTAGATGATTGTCTCTTTTATAACTTTCATTTCCTGTTATTTTCCAGATGGATATCACCATCCTAAGTCATTCACCTACATTTCATAATTATTTTATTATTATTAAAGTTTAAATGTTTGAGTCATCTGAAATTTATTTTGGTATATGGTATAAGATAGAGATCCAAGTATACATTTCATTCACATTGGATGTCCAATTATACAATTTATTTAAAAAAAAACACCCATTTTCAATTTTCTGAGCCAGTATTACATGATTTGTAATATACTGACTGGCCATAAAGTAGTTTTAGAATCTGGTAAAGCGAGTCCTCCTTCATTATTATTTTTTTTCTTCCATTGTAATTTGTCCTCCACATTAACTCTTTCATATGAAAATTATAAGCACTTTTTTGACATTAACAAATTCTGTCTCAATTAAAATTGCATTAAATTTCTATGTTTCTCTTTGGAGTATTACAATAATATTAATTCTTAACACCGAAGTGTTTTGAAATATCATTGAATTCTTTGGCTCTTATTTCTTAATATTCTTCATATAGGTCTATCATATGAAATTGATCTTATTTTTTAGTATTTTTACAGTTGTCACATTTTGAATTGGGTACATTTTCCTCCTCATTTATAGCTTGTTATTTTGGGCAATAAAAGCAACCTATAGATTTTTATATTTTTATCTTTTATTCAATGAATTTATTTAATCTTCTAAATTACAGTGGGTTTAAAAATAGAATATTTTGGACTCTAGGTATACAATCATTTTACATGTATATAAAAATTATTTTATTTCTTCTAATGTTTATATTGATTATATTACTTTAGCTGGATTCTCCGGAATAGTGTTGTATAATGATACAGACATACTTCACCTATTTTTAATTTTCAAAAAAATCTTTGTAGTATTTCATATTAGTATTATATTTGCTGTTGGTTATTGATTTGCTGTTGATTATTAACTTGTTTAGGAGTTTCTTCTTTTCCTTTTTTACATAGTGTTATTATCAGAAATGGCTCCTGGGTTTATCAAATGTATTTTCATTATCTATTCTTAAAATTTTATGATCTTTTTCCTTTAATTTGTGGATGTAATGAATTAAAATGGTTGGTATTTGATGTTGAACCAAACCTTAATTTCTGGAATTAATCCTACCTGCTACATGTTGTGTTTTATTTACCAACATTTCATTTAGAATTATTGCATTTGCATTCCAACTTGGAATTGTTTATTTTTGTTCTTTTTTATGCTGTCTTTACCAAGTTTTTTTTTTTTATTAGAGATGTACTAGCTTTAAAAATATGAATTTTTGTGTTTTTAGTATTGTGCTGTGGTCTCAAGTAGTTCAAATAGCATTAGAATAAATTGTTCATTAAAAGTTAGCTAGTACCAATCTGTAAAATGATCTAATCCTGGTGACACTTTTGATTGTAGATCTTTAGTCAGTTCTCTGATTATTTCCAGTGACAATTAGTTTATTCAAGCTTTTGTTTAGAAAGAATATGTATTCTCTGTGAAATACAAAGTCCAAAGTTGTCTCTGTTATCAACCTTGTTGCTTGTTTTATTCACATGCTTTATGTCCTCGTATATTTTATGCCTCAAGATTTGTCCAGTACTGAAAAATGTAATAAAATTATCAGCTCTAATGGCATTTTAAATTCTTTGTACTATTTTATTTATTTAAAATGTCACAACAAAACATGTGAAAGTATAAAAGATATGGCACACATTTATTCATCTCTACCTCAGATGTAAAACTGATAGCATTTTGGTATGTTTATTTTAGATGATGATTTATAGTTTTAAATAATTGGAACATTACAATTAATTAATCCATTTTCCAATATCATACCAGTTATTTTGAAGAGGGTAGACACTATCGTGAGTTTGGTGTGAATATTGCCCATGATTTATGCATTTACTACAAATATAACTATAACCAATAATGGTATTGATTTATGTGTTTTTTAAAAATATAAATATGAATAATCAACTATAAACCATGAATAATTTATTTTGGTCTTTTGTTTTGTAGGGATTTTTATTTTTCCAAATAGAAAATGGACTGAAGTGACAAAAAATATCAACAGCACTTACTTTAAAATACTAATTACTGTTCACTTTTACTACTCCTAATACTCTGGAAGGCTTGGCCCTAGCCACAGCCCTAGGTATTGATAAAAAAGACAATCTCCTCTTTTCCAGACCTTTTATCTGGGCTAGGAAGAGGTACATATACACCACAAGCCTCTTACTTCAAGGTAGTCATAGGCCTTATATTTTTCCTGGCATGATACTGGGGTTATTCCACTTTCTGATACTCAGAAGGTGGCTAGCTCTATTCCTAGCCCTCTTCTAAGAGTTTGGGACATAGTATTGGATGAAAATCTTCCTATCTTAAATAACAGCAATCTCTTCTTTCCCTCCCCCTACCATGTAAAGACACATGTCTTATAGACATATAATATTGCTTTCTAGCTCCTGTTCTAGTTTTAGTTATAGTTCTCACCTCCCCCAAATATCAAGTCATGTATCATACATTATGATGACATGATGATATTGGTCCATATAGCAAAAGATTAGTTTGTCCCTGGACTAGGGCCTGGCAATGGAAGAATGAGTTATCCAGTCAAAAACCCTGCTCTTAGAGCATACATCCTAATGGGTTGAAGAAGACAGTCATCATCAAGCTTAATGTAAGTCCTTTTGGTCTTATATTGTCTCATAATAATTTGAGTGTATACAAAAACCTGTCATTCAAAGAAAGGTTTATTCTAGTTCTACCTATGGTTTAGAGATTGAGGATAGAACAATGAAATAATTTAAAGAATGTAGAAAAAAGTCAATGTAGAATATCATGTTCCACTATGCCTTTACACCTAAATTTCTTGGCTCCTATACTAGAACTACATTTCTAATTATTCCATGGTAATATATGTATTTTTTTCATCACATAAGCTTGCTTTGAGTCAAAGGGAGGATTTATAATGTTTCTAACATAGTTTTAGGAGGTGAAAATGTCCAGAAACTACATCCCTGGTCCCATAGTACTTAATATTATTGTGGATGAAGATACATTCCTGTCTTCTTCACAGTGTGCTGTATGTGTATATATCAGGCTGTGATGATTTCTTTTTAAAAAGCCCAATAAGAAAGCCATGAATCAGGGTGGGTGTATTTTATATAGATGGACAGATAATTCCCCAGAAAACATGTCATTTGAATGGACACCTCAATAAAGTGAGACAGCAAATCATGTTGCTGGCACTTTGAGATAGACTGTTCCTAACTAGAGAGGTTTCTTGTTAGAGCCAAGTATGGCCAGACGGGATGTGAGCAAGGAGAAGAGAGATTGTTCCATAGAAGTTGGTCTTCATTATGTTAAACAAGTGAGGTATTTCTAAGTTGGTGATTTTATAGTTTCAACAAGGCAAATTATGCATATTTTTATTTATTAAGATGTAATTCCATATAGTAAAAATGAACAGATCCTAACGGACTAAACTTTCCAGTTTTCCTTCTCTTATTGATTTGAAGTTTCATGTGTTTGTGGTCAGAAAGACATTTTTGTGTTTTTAATTTTTTTAAAATTTATTGAGAATTCTTTTGAGGATTAAATATGGTCTATCCTGGATAATAGTCCATGGGCACTTGAGAAGAATATGTTTTCTGTTGTAGTTGGGTCTGTGAAAATGAAAATGAAATCCCTGTATGCAGACAAAAGCTCACAGACTGAGCCTCTAGAATAACCCTGGCATAAAAAGGGGACCTGTGCATCAAAGGGACAGAATCAGTTTTTAGCCTGTATTACATCAGGCCTTGGAGTGGGTTGGAGAACACCCACCAGCTCCCAAGACTATGCAGCCTGTTGCTGTGAGACCCAGGTGTGACACACATTAACATCTACCTTGGTGGCAAAGAGATTGTTTTAGTCGGCTTTTTAAATGCTATGACTAAAAGTATCTAACCAGAACAACTGTAGAGGAAGAAAAGTTTATTTGAGGGATCACAGTTTTAGCGTTCTTAATCCATAGAAGGCCGGCTCCATTCCTCAGGGCTCAAGGTGAGGGAGAACATCATGGTGGAAGAATGTGGCAGAAGGAAGCGCCTCACAGGATGATCAGGAAATAGAGACAGAGACTTCATTT